TAAAAAAAAAAAAAATTCCATTGTACAGGAATGCTCTGTAGTTCACTTCCTCAAGCTATAGGACTGCTCTATAATTACTTCCTCTGTTTTACGGGACTACTCTTGTAACGCTCCACTTGAGATATGTAGTTAAATTATTGTTGCATTGCTTGAATGTTTATTGACTTATTCTCATTTGAGCTTGCATGTTGTTATTTTTGGTTGGTTGGCCCTTAGTTGAATTTTGTTAAAGTTATTTTGAGAAAAATGTGAAGAAAATCCCTTAAACTTTCATTAGGGGTAAAATGGTTTTTTCACTCAAAATTAGTTGAAAAATAGGAGAGTGAAAAGAGATAGAATTCTATGGAGAATGTAATAAAAATGAGGGCATTGTTGTAATTGACTAAGAGACATAGATGGAATTTCCAAGAAAGAGCAAGGGCAAAATGGGAATGATTGTATGTAAGTTGAGCTAAAAAGGGTTTAAGTGTTGAAAGCCCTTCATTCTTCACCATCTCCACCGCCATTCTCATTCCCTAATTTCTCTCAAACCCTCCACTCAATCTTCCAAGAATTTCTAAGGATTTTTAGGGTAGTTTTTAGTAGAGATTTAATCTAAAGCATCCTAAGGTAAGGATTCTTGCTTTAGATGAGAATTTGCTTATGATTTGTTAAAGTCTTATGTTGTTATTGTTTAAAGTTGTAGATAGAAGACAAGATACAAAAGGGAAGGAGAAGTGCTAGAGAAGCCATTTACCCATAAGGTAAGTAAATCCACCTAAGTTGTGATTTGCATGATTGAATGATGTATAGAGATTTGTATATGATTAATGCTTGAATTTTTATGTTTGAAATGAGTTGATGGATTTATGAATGAGTTCAATGTTGATTTTATGGAGAGATTTCCACCATGAGAAGGGTGGATTGTGTTGATGAAATTTGATAGAAGTATGGATAGCTTTAGAAGAATTTGAGAGGAATATTTGAAGTGTGTTTTCTTTGCAAGATGTGTGATGATTTAAAGGAGTTGAACTCCAATTTTGGATGGTTAAGAAAGAAGTAGAATTATAGTTAAAATAGAGTTTATGTATGCACACATATTGTTTGATGAAATGCCTAAGTGAAAACTGTCCTGTCACAGCCTTGACTTTCTGAGTGATTTTTGGGCATCTTACAAATTGAACTGGGTTGAGACCAAAACATAAAAGTTGTATCCCTGTCTCTAAGCTTTAAAACGAGACCAAAATCGTAGCAATCTGATATGTATAACTCAAGTTATGCCTTTTTTAGTGTGACCTATGCAGAATGACTATCTTGATGCAACATTGCATTTGTGCATTTCATGAGAGCATTAATGAGCATGAATCATCCATATGCATTAATTATGCATTAGAGAAAGAGTAGAGAACTTTGAGTGTGAGCTTTATTAAGAGAAAAGAGAGAAAAAGAGAATAGAGTAGGTTGTGCGATGGGGAACCCGTGAGTAATGGGTAGAGTATTCCCGCATGTACTCCGCATTGAGAGAGCGGCATGAGTATGAGAGAGAGAAGTGGTATAGCCCGTGAGAGTGCATGCGGATGAGGGCTATACCCGAGAGAGAGATTATATACTCACATGGCCAAGGGTTCCGAATCCATGCATAACCGAGTCCGATCGGCTAAGAATGAGTAGAAGTCACGGAGAGCGGGAGCGAGTCCCGACCGTGCCCCCAGTAAGATGAGGCTATGACTTACTAAAGAGAGTTAGTAGAAAAGAGTTCTAAGAAAGAGAAACAGAGAGAGAGAAACAGAAAGAGAAAATAGAGAGAAGTATAAAAGAGAGAGTAAATGAGAATTGTAAGGAAAGACTTAGAGAGAGAAAGTTACGGGGATAGATGACTAAAGGATTTACTTACTGAGCATTATTTGTGCTCACCCCGTTGTCTTTCTATGTTTTTGCAGGATTTAGGTGAGGACACGGTCGGATGGACGTCGGCATGCGAGGAGGAATGGCTACACTGTCTACATAGTTTTTGTTTATGATACTAATTTTGTATAAAGAATGTATATATTTAATAAAAGAAAAATTTGTGCCCAACTGCTTATGTTATTATACATGTATTTTATTATGTATATTTTTATAAGTATTTGAGTCAGAAGTAGTTATTACAACTCTTAATTCTCTTATTGTTGTTCATCATTGCTGCTCTTGTTATCACAAGCGCTCTTTAAGTCTTCAGCTGAATTATATTTTATCATTCTTCAACTGAACACTTATCACCCTACTTATGCTCATAACTTTCAACTGATCATAATAGCAAGATACATTAGTTACAAAGATAAGAAACAACATTTAGTTTTGCCTTCAATTCTGGAAATTGAGAAGCAAGAAGAGCCTTTGTTAAAATGTCAGCAGTCTTTAGCTTTGAGGGGACATATTGCAGAACAATTTTGTTGGCTAAGACCTGTTCTCTGATGTAGTGTGTGTCAATCTCTATGTGCTTGGTTCTAGCATGGAACACGTGATTGGAAGCCAATGCTCCAGCACTCACATTGTCACACCATATTACGGGAATTTCAGTAATTGATAGACCCAATTCATTGAACACTCTGTTTAGCCAAGCAATTTCAGTGGCTATATGTGCCAAAGCTTTGTACTCAACTTCAGTGGATGATAGAGCTATTACCTTCTGTTTTCTAGAGCTCCATTGGATTAGGTTTGGTCCTAAGTAGACACAATACCCACTTGTGGACCTCTTATCCTTTATGTTACTGCCTCAATCCGCATCGGCATAACATTCAATCTCCAAAGAGGCAGCTGGTGTGAACTTAAAACCATGATCTTTTGTGCCTTGAATATACCGTAAGAAAGCTTGCCAATGTAAATGAGTAGGAGACGACAAAAATTGGCTTAATTTATTCATTGTGAAGCTGAGATCAGACCTTGTTAAAGTAAGATATTGAAGAGCACCCACTGTATTTCTATACCAACTAAGATCTGAAAACAGTTCACTATCCATTGGAAATAATTTTGATCCTGTAGTCATAGGAGTAACACATGAATTGGCTTCCATCATCTTTGTTTTTTGCAACAAATCATTAGCATACTTGGTCTATCTTAGATGAATTTCAATGGTTGTCCTTGTAACTTCAAGACCGAGAAAATACTTTAAAGAACCAAGTGCTTTCAAGGCAAATTGATCATTAAGTTCTTGCACAAGGGCACTCACATATGCCATATTAGATCCAGTTAGTAAAATATCATCAACGTAAACCAAAACATAGGTAACTTGTGTGTCTTGGTTGAGGATGAATAAACTTGAATCTAATACGGAGTTTCTGAATGCTTTGTCCAGAAGTGTTTGCTTCAGTCGATCAAACCATGTTTTAGGGGCCTGTTTGAGCCCATATAAAGCCTTGTTTAATTTGCAAACATGCTATGGCTTCATAGTATCTTCAAAACCAGGGGGTTGCACCATGTAAACAACTTCATTTAGAGTGCCACTGAGAAATGCATTGTTCACATCAATTTGTTGAACATCCCAATTATAAGTAACAACCAAAGTGAGGATAATTCTAATTGTTGAAGGTTTAATGACTGGACTAAAAGTATCAAAATAGTCCAATGCCGGGGTTTGTTGAAACCCCTTGGCTACCAACCAGGCTTTATACTTTTGTAGGGAACCATCTACATTGTATTTCACTCTAAATACCCATTTGTTTCCAACAACGTTCATTTCTGATGAAAAAGGTACAAGTATCCATGTGTTATTTGAAATTAGAGAATCATACTCACACTGTATTGCAGTCTTCCATTCAGTGCTACTCAATGCTTCTTATACTGAATTCGATTCTGGTGTAACTGATCCAGTAAGTATAAGAGCTATAGGTTGGTTTGCAGGCTAAGTTGAAGGCTGAATTGATGACTTGAGAGGAAGAGAATGTAACTTGGCCAGTTTGGATCTTGTAAGCATTGGGTGAACATTGCTAGAAGTATCTAAAACTGGTGGAATGCTAAAAAAACTGTGAAAGAGTCAGATCAACCTCAAGAGAACATGATGGTGCAGTTGTTACAAGTCTAGTTGTTGTAAAGGTCTAGTTGTATTTCACTCTAAATACCCATTTGTTTCCAACAACGTTCATTTTTTATGAAAAAGGTACAAGTATCCATGTGTTATTTGAAATTAGAGCATCATACTCACACTGCATTGTAGTCTTCCATTCAATGCTACTCAAGGCTTCTTATATTGAATTCGGTTCTGGTATAACTGATCCAGTAAGTATAAGAGCTATAGGTTGGTTTGTAGGCTGAGTTGAAGGCTTCTTAAACTTTTGCTGTGTAGGATTAGCAATAAACTGTTGATTTCCACCATAAGAACCTGAGCCAATTGGATTAGAGGAATGAACCCAACAAAAGTTAGTTTGCTACATAAACTGTCTAGGCATCATCTGAGTCACTAGCATAGCTTGTGCTACTTCATTTGTTTGGCCAGGATTATGTGTTTGTGCTGTAACAGAGGTAGAGGATCCTTGACCAGCAAAACTAAAACCATTAAAGCCTTGGAATCCTTGATAATCCTGATCAAATCTATGACAGCAATTAACTGCAGAGTGTCCTCCTTTTCCACAAACCTGACATATCAGTTTTGGTCTAAATTGACCCCTTCCTGTGCCTCGACTACGCATCGTATAGGGATTGAACATATACATTCCAGGAGAGTTATGAGCAGCAAATGAACCATGAGAACTATTTGGAACATATTGTGAAGAGTAGCCACCAAAAGGAAAAGCTGGTCTAGGATTATTCCCAGACTGTACTAGACTACCAGGAGACTGAGATAATTGAGGTATCAAATAACTTCCTGAAGATTCCATATTAGCACTTGGCCTAACTCCTTTGTTCAGTGAGACATCATTAATATCTATAAAGCTATGGTCTGCAATTTGTTTAGAAACCAGAAGAGCCAAAGCTAGTTGATCATGCAAGTGATTATAGGCACTATGTTGCCTTTCCAATCTTATTTCATGTATGTGCAACAAGAACTAAGCCTCTTGTATAGTGATAACGCTACTATTAGATGTGAGATTTGCAACAACAACATCATACTCCGGTCCCAAACCATCTAATATATACAACAACAGTTCCTCATCACTCATACTTACACCACTAGCATTCAACTCATCTCCAATTTCTTTCATCTTTAGCACATATTCACTAATACTACATGAATCCTTCTTAGTTGTCTGCAGTAAGTTCCTTAAGTGCAGTGTTCTAGCCTTAAAGACTGATTGAAAATGCAACTCTAAAATACTCCAAATTTCATAGGCTGTACTACACTTAGCAACATTCTAAACATAGACTCAGAAATTGTTGAAAGAAGCTAGCTTACTAAAAACTGATCAACCTTTTTCCAATCGAAATAGTTAGGGTTAGACTTCTTTACCTTTTCTCCTGTTTCTTCAGATGTAACAATTAAGAACATTGGTGGACATACTTTTTCTCCAGTAACAAAGACATCCAAACCATGTGAGCTCAAGGCTGGCAAGATCTGAGATTTCCAAAAAGTGTAGTTTCTTTCTTGAAGTTTCACGGAGAGTGAAGGCAAGGTAGGTAACGTGCTTGGACTTGTAACAGCAACTGGTCCAGTTTCCATATTTTTTTTTTCTTCGTTTGAAGAGAAAAAGAAAGAAAATTGCAGAGGAGTTTAAGCAAAAGATCAACCTTAGACGTTAGTCTAGGGCTCTAACACCATGAAAAGTTTCAGAGATGAAGAGAAAATTCTAGAAGAGAAACACGCAGAAAAACAGAGCATGAAACGTGTAAGTTCTGTAGAAAGGATTCTGTTATTTTTTCACTTTCTAACTAACTGAGTACAAAGGAAGAAAGGCTGTCTTTTTATACATGCAGCCATCAAGAAACGCAGCGTTTTATAATATTGCTAAAACGCTGCGTATTATACTTATACCTTACAAATATTGAAAACCCCAGACTACTCAAAACCGAGAGCCTACATTCTTCTTCTTCTTCTTTTTATCAACATCTTCCCTTAAACTAGATACCTTATTGCTTCTCCATTCTCTTCAATACTGTCAAAGACATCTTGAAGCAATTGGACATTCATAAATTTAGGGGAAAGATGTTAGTAGCTTCTTAGGACATTGTTCTGTGATTGAATTATTTGAAGGTTATTGCGATGCATGAATCATGCTTCTTCCTTACTGCAGATGTTATACATAAGATCGTTCCCTCTAATCTACTTAGCCAAAGTTCGGTAAGGATTTTGATTCATCTTTCAGGGAATTTGTTCCCCCGAAAGTGTGACCTTATGGGACAAGTTTAATCATATTCCTGCTTACTTTCAAGAGAAATTTCTTTTTTTGTAATGTGTTTAATCTTAGGTTGTTTATCAGGGAAGCAGGGAACATTAAAGCAACAAATGCACCTGTAGTACTTCTTTTATAGTGTAAATATTAAACAGACAACATTTTATTTTTAAAGGAAATACTTATCTAAGCATTCAATAACAACTTTATTATAAGGTTTTTGCCTCTATGTAGTTCTAAAATTCAACAGGATTGTAATCTTTAAGCGTTGATTTAGCTAGCTCGGAAGTAGTTGATCAAGTCATCTTTCTTTGGCATTCATTCTTTAAGCTGCAACGGGGTTTCTGCAAATTTTTGAGTCCATTCATACAGTGATGGAAACTTATGAGGATCAAGTAGCTTTATACCTCCACATTCTTCTATAAACTGTAGCCAATGAGGTATAGAACCCAAAACCAAGCCTAGAAAACTCATGTTTTCGCCAAAAAGTTTCTTGTTTCTAATCTGCTCGTTGAGAACTCCTAGTTTTTGTCGTGCAGACTCAACAGCTTTCTCTTTTGGTGTCCTTGGGCACGGTAAGCAGCGAAAGCATTAGCACAACAAACCATACAAATAAACAGTCAAGTATGAATCTTTTAACTACAGAGCTCTCTTCTATTCATAAATATTTTTTATAGATAACATGTGAAGTTTTTTATGCAAATGAATCTGTAACTCTTGAATTACCTCGTCATCAATATATTTTGCCTAGAAACGCACCATGGCTCAGTCGACAGGATCTGCAGGCAATAAAGGGTTGTGTTTCCATGTCTCCTCTATGTACTCAAGGATGACTAAATATTCAGAGATTGGTTTTCCATTGTGCAGAAGCACCGGCTCCTTCTTGTGAACAGGATTAGATTGGAGAAGCAGGTTACTCTTCCTTTTCAAGTCTTCTTCTACATACTCATATGTTATACCCTTGAACATTAAAGCCCATTCAATTTTAACACAGAATAGGCTCAAAAAAGTTCCAATAACTTTCACCTCTTCCATTTTTTGAGATATGAAAATCTTGGATCAAACACTAGTTTCTATATGCTAGAGGGGTTCTGAAATGTATGCATTTTTGTGGAAAAGTATAGCTGTATGTTTCTTGGAAAACACAAAACTTTGACTTTTAACACACATTGAAAGCACAGGGTGTTAAGAAAGACGCTATTGCCTAGTATTTTCTTGGTCTTGAGATTCCTCTACTATCATATTCGAAACACAAATTCCTTTCACCATTTCGAGAATCACCTCTCCATAGCTATAAACATCATATTTAGTATTGTACACTAGATAGCATATGGAGATGTTTAGTTATCACCTTTTTGAGCTCGCCAAATTACATACAAAGTCTGATTCTACAACTCTAAGACTATGGTCTATGGGTAAGCATTCTTTAAAGTTTAAAGTATTTACGATAGATAGAAACTATTTATAGCTACTGAAACTTCACAAAAATCAGCTAGCCATGGAGACTCTACCACTTGAACTTGTCCAAGCAAAGTGAGACGATTTGTGCTAAGCAAGGTCAAAGATATCTATTTATTCATAAAACTTATTGAAACTACCATCCAAAACAGGCATAAGGGCACGATGTAAATCCTTTTCTATTGTGCATTTTTCTTGGAAATTCGTATCCAGAATTGCAGTTTGTGTGTAAGCTGAAAGAATATTGAAACTTCAATGTGCATGTAATTCCCAAATTACAAATGGGAACGTCATGTAAGTCGATATGTGTTGATGTTTTATTTTGACACTAACAATTTTGCACGTGTAAAATGCTACAGAGTCACACGTAGTTAAACAAAAGGAAAGTTGACAATAACCATGATAACAATAACTTAAATTTAAAGGGAACACAAAGATTTATAGTGGTTCAGATTCTTAAAGCAAATCCTATATCCATTGTGAGGGTTATCCATTAAAGACTTTGAGATCGTGTACACAAGGTTACAAGAGGTCGTTGTTAGCGATCTACAGTTATAATCTAAGAGAATGACAAACCAATCTCTTTCTAATAGTGTATTTTGCTTTGTAAGAATTTGTGTTTCTCTAATTTCTCTGAATTCTGAATCCTAGATTATGAAGAGGGAACTCTCCGTTTATAACCAAATTTTCTCAAGGTGATGAGAGCTTTTGCAAGTGGCCTGATATTGTGAGAATGCTTCTTTCTTTCTCATTGGTTGAGAACTGTTAGAAATATCCTTAAATTAAATGAAGCGTGGATAGGTGTGCAATCCATATGTGCCCAAGCATAAATCTTTGAGGCAATTTAGGTTGGTAGTTGTCTTGCAGTACATCCTTGATGACGTGTCATATTCTGGACGGTTAACAAGTTCTATGAAATCTGATTGGTGGTGATGATGTCAGCCATGAGTCAGCCCTAATTTTTTAGGCGTAACAGAAGCTCCTCAGTTCTGGAGATTTAAGAATTGAATTTTGAGAACTTCATGATTATGCTGCTATCTGAAAGTTGTTGCGATTTGAGCTGTTTTCCTTTTTAAGACCAGGAATTGGTCATGTGGTCGTGGTTTGTGATCTGAGAATTAGGGGCCCGGGGGGGGGGGGGGGGGGGGGTGGGCCCGGGGGGGGATCGTAAACAAGCCGTGATGTGAGATCATTCTTCGTATTCTTTGATGGCTTACCACATTTTGAAAGATGGATGCTACCACGATGACTCTTTCCTAAACAATCTGTGAAGACTGTTTGTGCTTGGGGATTTGCATGGATGCCTCTTTTGAACGGTTTTTACAGATGTCGTTTGTCTTATTGACAACTGTTACAACGCGAAAACGTGCTTTTTTTGACAAAAAAGGGACTGTAAGAATTTAATGCCAGCTATGAACATTAAATGCTAATCATGTTGAAATGGTATTCTCTGTTGCGTATTTAATGCAACCTAGATGATTACGCTGACAATTGCCATTATTATTTTATTGTATCGCTTAATTGGTTACATTGGATAGTTGCTCAGCTGTAAAGTAGTTAGTTGGTTGGATTAGTTTTGATTAGCTGTCAAGAATCTAAGTAGCTACACTTCTTTGTATAAGTATTGCTTTTACTTTACTTAAAATAATAAGAATACTACTTTACCAAAATTGCTTTTTATTATGTAAAAGTTTGCATTACTTTGTTCATGGTATCAGAGCAATAAATCTTCTACGAATCCATTGCTTTTCTATTTTTGTGATAATTTCTTGTTTCTAGTCATCATGGAACCTGATATAAGGAGCTCGAATCTTCGAAGTGAAAGAGCGATGAAATTTGATTCAGTAAGAAGTGGAGACAACATATGATGTGGGGATCCTTTGTATCTGCAATGTTTTGATCATCCAGGAAAGATTCTTGTTTCAACTCCACTAATAGGTAAGAACTACTTATCTTGAAGTTGTTAGATGAAAATTGCATTAGGAGCCAAAGTGAAGTTAGGATTCATAAATGGAAAATGTAAAATGCCTGATGAAAGTTCTCTAGAATTTGAGCTATGGAGTAGGGTAGTTTGCATGGTTACTTCTTGGATTTTGAACTCGATTTCGTAAGAGATAGTTAAAGCTTTCCTATATACAACCTCAGCTAAAGATTGGTGGAAGGAATTGGAAAAAAGGTTTGGAGAATGTAATGTACCTTTGTTATATCAAATACAGAGGGAAATCAGTTCAATTAATCAAGGAAATATGCCAATAGTACAATATTACACAAAGCTCAAGAAGTTATGGAATGAGTTGAGATGTCTAATGCCTATACCACGGTGTAGTTGTGGAGCAGCTAAATTGGTGGCAGAGATATTCTTTTAATCGTTTGATGCAATTCCTTATGGGATTAAATGATAGTTTTGATCATGTTCAAAATCAGATTTTGGTTATAGATCCCTTATCCACCATTAACAAGGCTGAAAGTATTATGAAGCCAAAAACAGAGTCGTTTCACTTAAGTCTATTCAAGCCAAAACGGGGTCGTTTCGTTTAAGACCATTACCGAATTTCAGCCGTCAAATCAAGACAGATCCAAGGGCTGAGAATTACGAACGCAGAAATATATAAAGAAGAGCAACAGTGATAAATGTATAATGTGTTTTTCATTGTCAATCGGGTATTAGGGTTTGAGAGAGGGAAATACTGGGGTTGGTTTTCTGCTGAATCTTTCTGGGTTTAATCTGGTTGATTGTGAGAGAGGGTTGCGTTTCCTTCTAGAGACTTGTATTTGTCCTCTGTTTTCTTGCAGATTATTGAGAGATTCGTGAGTGATTAGGCATTGGTTGGGTGTTAGTCTGTTTCGGCAGATTTGTAGTCTTGTCCTTCTT